CCATTGTAGGTTACAGATCTCTTCTCCCAAGCTGTTTTCAGGATTTTCTCTTTGTCTCTGAGACTTTATAAGTTTTACTATTAGATGTTGGGGTGTTGACCTGTTTTTATTGATTTTGAGGGGGGTTCTCTGTGGCTCCTAGATTTTGAGGCCTGTTTCCTTCTCCACATTAGGGAAGTTCTCTGCTATAATTTGCTCCAGTATACCTTCTGCCCCTCTGTCTCTTTCTTCTTCTTCTGGGATCCCAATTGTTCTAATATTGTTTCGTTTATGGTGTCACTTATTTCTGGAATTCTGCCCTCGTGATCCAGTAGTTGTTTTATCTCTCTTGTTCTCAGCTTCTTTATTCTCCATCATTTGGTCTTCTATATCACTAATTCTCTCTTCTGCCTCAGTTAGAGCCTCCATTTTTTATTGCTTTTCATTAATACGCTTTTTGATTTCGACTTGTTTAGATTTAGTTTTTTTATTTCTCCAGAAAGGGTTTCTCTCATATCTTCCATGCTTTTTTCAAGCCCCGCTAGTATCTTTATAATCGTCATTCTGAACTCTAGTTCTGACATCTTACTAATGTCTGTATTGATTAAGTCCCTGGCAGTCGGTCGGTATTGCCTCTTGTTCTTTTTTTTTTGAGGTGAGTTTTCCATCTTGTCATTTTGTCCAGAGGAGAATAGATGAATGAGAGAACAAAATGCTAACAGGGTAACATCGACCCCAGAAAAATAAACACTGGTAAGAACTCTGAAGCCCAGATGCTCTGCTCAGAAAATTCAAGATTCAGATTCTGATGACGCCACAGACAGCACCGACACCACAGACTGCACCCATGCTTCACTAATCACCTTTCTATTTCTGTCTCTGTTACCTTATTCTGGACTTTCATATGAATAGAATATAATATGTGATCTTTCATGACTGGCTTATTTCACTTAACATGATATTTCAAGATTCATCCATATTGTAGCTTGTGTCAATATTTCATTCTGTTTCATGGCAGCATAATATTCCATTGTATGGATAGACCACATTTTGTTTATCTGTTGTTGGATATTTGGGTTATTTCCATCTTTTGGCTGCTGTTGATTATATCACTACAAATATTTGGGTATAAGTTTCTGTGTGGGCATCTGTTCTCTTTTCTCTTGGGTATGTACCAAAAATAGAATTGCCGGGTCATATGGTAACTTTAAGTTTATTCATTTCAGGAAATGCCAAGCAGTTTTCCAAAGTGGCTGCACCATTTTGCTTTCTTGCCAGCAGTGTGTGACAGTTCCAGTTTCTCCACATCTTCATCAACCTGTGTTGATCTGACTTTTTGAATTAGCCATACTAGTGGGTGTCAGCTCATGAGGTTTTGGAAGGATTTGGAGAGGATTTTCCCTTTCTAGTAGTTTTTAAATCCATTATATATACTTGTATAGATAAATTTATATAAGTATATATAATTTAAATGCATAAATATATAAAACACTTTTAATGTAGTGTCTGTAAAACCAGGACTGCTAAGATGTCCTATTGCCTGTCACAGTAATAAAGGATATTTCAATATTTGCTCATCCAAAATTCTTACTGCTCAAAACCAATGCGGGAAACTTTAGTAACGTGTGAAGTAAGGGAATGAAAGGGGACGGGTGGAGAAGTGGGAGCAGGTGGTGTATTTTTCAGGAGCAGGAGATTGCTCCATTGCTTATCTCTGTGTCTGATGGCTCCCTCTGTCTTTCAGGAGGACTGGCGTTGGCCCACGTGCTCTTCTTCTATCTGAAGTACTTGGTGCTCTTTGGTGTCCCAGCTCTGCTCATGCGCCTGGATGGACTCACGCCGCCGCCCCTACCTCGCTGTGTGAGCACCATGTTCAGTTTCACCGGCATGTGGAGGTCAGTAGTTTGGTTTATTAAAGCCCTCTGGGGATGTCCAGTGGGAGGAGCCATGGCTTGGAGAGCTTCAAAGGGTTTGGGCCACCGTCCTTTCTCTGTCCCTCACTCAAGCCACGTTTGGCACTTGGGTTTCTTCATCTGTCTAATAGGATGACAATCTGTGCTTTCTGAACTGCTCAAAATTACTGCCAGGCTGTGAAGATATGTGAGATAAGAAAATTTCTCTCCAGGTCTTTGTACAAATGCACATAGGGTGATGTGTAGATGGTTTCTTACTAACTCGGGATATGCTGCAATGTATTATTTTATTGCTTTGTTTTTCTTGAAAATGATCTCTGTATATGTGGGACTGTCAATTAAAAACAATAGAATTAGGATAATAGCATTAGTCCCTGTTGGCATTTACTAGCTCCCAGATCTGGGACAATATAATAAATTTCTCTAAGTTTCAGTTTTCTTCTCTCTTAAGTGGCAATAATAATAGTGAGGGTGATAATACCCATATTCAAGAGTTGTTTTGAATATTAAATAAGCTGATGAATTTAAGGCATTTGGCACATTGTAGATGTTTGTAAATGTTAGCTTTTTATCCTTTTATTATTCCTATATCTGGTGCACATGGACAGACAGATGTGTTTTCTGAGTTTTTTTACTTTTCTTGATTTTGCCCCATAAATATATGGCTGGCCTGGAGCTTTTGTTCCAAAGGATCCCTCAGCCCCGCTGCTGTTTCTGCTTGTTCTCCAGATGGGCTTGCTTGCTGCTGTGTGTTTCTTATCACTTCCAATATGTAACAAGTGACAGGGCTTGCTTTTGCAATTGCACACCTAATGGAGGAAGCTCAGCCTGGGGACCTGCACAGTCGTGGGGGTCAGCATGTCTTGGACACCTTCATTTCCTCCACCCCAGTATCGGCCCTGCTCAGAGTTGCTGTTCTGGCTCATTCACATGGCGCCTTTGGCCTTATATTTCATCTCTGTAGGCAGAAGAGCCAGGACCCAGGTAGAGGAAGAGCTCAGTGAATATTACCATATCTAATGTTGCTATTAAAAAAGGGCTGGATAGCCTGCAACATTCTAGTTTTCCATAGCAACTGATAATAGATGCTGATGAAAAGCCTCTGTAAATACATTGTATTATTGGTTCAGTTTGTTTCTTGGGATTAGAAATTTCATATGGTTATTGCAAGTAATGTTAGATAATTGCTTTGATTTGTCCTTAATTACTTCATCAAATATCATAGGTTGCCTAGTTGTAATGGCAGGCTTGGAGAATGCTAGCAAAGGGGTTCTTTCTAGCCAGGGAGACACAGGGTGGTTCTTGGTTAAAAGGTGAACCTGGTCGGGAGGCTCTGTTAACCTACTCATAAAATTAATTTACTGAATAAATGGGTTGGGACCCAGCATAATTTGGGGTCATGTCACTGGTGACTGGTGTGCACCTAGCATGGTTCCTCTGCCTCCTTGTGAATGCTTGCCCTAATGCAGTTCTTAGGAAGCATCTTCTTCTAAAGGGCTTCTCGTGTCAGTTGGTGTAATGAAAACCCATGACTCTTGGGCAGGCATGCTGGCCCCAGGCTTCTTGTCCATAGATCTCAGCCCATTGATTGTCACAGGAAGCAGTTTAGACTGTTGACTGTATTTCACATTCAGAGTAGTTGTCTTCTTCTCCTTTATTAATTAATTATTTTTTGGTCCAGTACCGTCTGTTGTCTATACACAGCAAAGGCAGAGAGAGCATATCTGCCAAGTCCTTTGTCATTTCGATTAGAACTAGACTCAAATGGTGTAGACTCCAGTTAAAGTTTTAAGACAGATGTGGGTGAGAGAGTCGTAAAAGTTGCTGTGAGCTAGAAGCTCTAGGGTGAGCCCTGGGAGTGAGGCGGTTCTAGGGGAACATGTTTACGAGAGCGTGTGACAGAATGACAAACATGGTCTTTCCTGGGGGTGACCTAGACTTTTATCCTGGCTTTTTTTTTTTTTTTCCAGCTTACATGGGTGTAGATTTTCCCCTTCACGGTTTTTAGTTTGCTGAAAGGTTTTCCAGTTTGCCAGTTATACTTAGAAATACCTTGGTCTTTGTTGTTTGTACACAGTGAGCATTCCACATTAAGTAGTTGAATTTAGGAAGGGAGGTCAACTCTGCGCTACAGTGCACAACTTAAGGCTCTGAAGAAGTAGTTTTGAATTGAAAAAATAAAAATTATAACTTCCCTTTTACACTGTTTGCAGATATTCCTCCATCCTTCAGAGGAAGTTTACCATGTTTCCATTCAGGATCTGGTAGCCTGACCCTACAGCGGCCCTGGTCCCCACTCTCTAACTTTTCTCTGTGAAATGCACATTGAGGGAAAATAAAGTTTTGAATTTGTAGTTTCTATTTACATCTAGCTTTACATTAATAATTCTAGGCCATCTATTGAGGTCTTGCTGCAGCCAGGGAATTGTCTCCTCTTCCTGGATATAGGTCCGGGAAGAACTGAGTCATGAACAGATGTGAAAGGGGACCGTGCCCATTATTCTGGGCAGTGGCAGCCAGTCATCCAGTGACACAAAGGGAAGGGTGGATGGGAAGTGGAGGGAAGAAATTTAAAAATAGTCTTCACAGATTATCTAGTGGTTACCTGACCTTCTAGAAAGTCCACACTGAATGAGGTTTGTTTGTTTATTTATTTTAGATTTTATTTATTTGAGAGAGTGGCAAGAGAAAGCACAAGCCAGGGGAGGGGCAGAGGGAGAGGGAGAAGCAGTCTCCCCGCTGAGCAGGGAGCCCGATGTGGGGCTTGATCCCAGGACCCAGGGATCATGACCTGAGTCGAAGGCAGAAGCTTAACTGAGCCCACCCAGGCGCCCCTAGCCTCCCATTTTAAAGGCAGTTTACACACCTGAACACCATGCTGACTGATTGCAGCATATTTCAGTCCACTTAACAGTGAGAGAAGACTTGAAGCCAGCAGCCTACCGTATCAGAGGAATCTGAACTCTACATCATAGAATAGATGAAATTGGCCATTAGCAGAGAGATAATGTTCCTTGACCTGCTAGTTCAAATTGGTCATGAAAAATTGCTATTCACCCAGATGGCCCAGACCTGAAAGTTAGGACCTGATGAGTTTATTTATTTATTTTTTCCCTTCTAGCTCTTTTCTTTCATTTAATTCCTGCTCAGATATTTGCGTGCATAACAAAATCCTAAGGAGTATGTGTATTCCCACTTGTGCGATTTTTCTGTGGCCTTACAGACCTGAGAAATTGAGAATTTTCTGCTTAATTTTTAGGTTTCATGTTTTAATTTAGGTAGGCTGAGATCTGTAATGAGCATCTTTTGCCGGGAGTCATTAAAGATGACATTGCATGTCTGAGGTTTCAAATTAGAAGTCTGATCATGTTCCTCTGATTTGATTTTTAGCTATGGAAGCAAAGTGTGCAAAGTGATAGAATTTCCCTTGGTGGCTGGTGAGTTATGGGTCAATTTCAGTTATCTCAGGAATCTCGCACAGCTTGCCCTCTGCCTTTCTTGAATTACGATGCTCTCAGGTCTTCCTAGGCAAACTCATGCATCACAGCTTAACCCAAAGAAATTTGGGCACTGCTAGACCTTAATGTGTGGGGACATTTTGGGGTTGGGGCTGGGGAGGAGCTTGAACCTCTTCTTTCAGTGGGGAATTGATTGCATGAACTTTTAGGTCAATAGAAGAATTTAGGTCCCTAGATGGAGAGTTGGTCCAGGCCTGTGGTAGATGATGAGAACTAGCTCTACAAACTGCTGGCTTTATATTCGTCCTGCCTTTGAATCATGTCTGACCTCAGGTTGCAGGACAGGATGGTGAGCCTGGAGTTGGTCAAGTACACACCACGTCTACCAGCACTGCTGGGTGTAGGCAGCGGGGGCAGTGTGAACATAACGGGGAAAAGATTAGAACGGGTGCCATTAATAAACGTTCCCTGTTTTTGCAGGCCGCCTGCTAACCGACAGCTTGCCACTTACTAGCTGTGTGACTTGGCCAAATAATTAAAATGCTCTGGGCTAACCTTTTCATTTCTAAAATAGACATAATAATAGCACTTGCTGCCTAGGGGTGATGTGAGGGTTGATGAGCCTAGTGTTTAGTAGGTCCTCGGGAAGGGGTAGCTTCTAAGTTTTTTTTGCACTTGAAAATCTAGCAAAGCCAGAGGTGACTGGGAAATCAGCCTGTGGGAGAGTGGTGTTGGGGAAGCAGTGGGCAGTGATGAGATTGGCTGAGGAAAGTCTGTAGTCCAGCTCTGAGCCTGAGATGCGACAGCTCAGAGATAAAGGCTGTGGTGGAGAAGTCACGGGCACTCTGCCCTCAGAGGAGAGAGCTCGATCCAGTTGATTCTGCCTCAGTTTTCTCTACTGTTGAATGGAAGAAAGACTCTTATCATTAGATGATGTCTATATTCCCTTCCAGTTCTGTGTTAACATGAGCCCCAGCCACACTGGATGGGGATGACCACCAGTCCCTGGTGGTGGAGTCCTGTCTCCCTCACTACCCATGTAATGGGGCAGAAAGTCATTTAACCTCTTAATGCTTCCATTTTCTGAGGCATTAGAATAAAGCTCATCCGGGGCGCCTGGGTGGCTCAGTTGGTTGAGCGACTGCCTTCGGCTCAGGTCATGATCCTGGAGTCCCGGGATCGAGTCCCGCATTGGGCTCCCTGCTCAGTGGGGAGTCTGCTTCTCCCTCTGACCCTCTTCCCTCTCGTGCTCTCTATCTCTCATTCTCTCTCTCTCAAATAAAAAAAAAAAAAAAAAATCTTTAGAATAAAGCTCATCCTAGGACTTGCCTCCCCAGGTTGTTGCGAGGGGTCAGTGAGACCAGTGCTAATGCAGGAACACAGGGCAGGCCCACTGTAGACACCACGATGTGAGCCAATAATCGTAATTACGATTGATGGGCAAGTGAACTTCATACCATGTGTTTTTTTAATTTCCCAGAAAAGACAGGCCCGATAGCATGGGTGGTGGAAGGAGGTGGAAGG